ACAAGGGCTAGCATCAAATCGTTTTGCTGTTTTGTCTGGATACTCATCAGAGCCTGAAAATCCTGCATCTGTCTTTGTTGCTGTTGCTGCTGATTTAGCATCATCTGCATGAAGTTATCTTGCTTCTTTGACTCAACTCGAGCTGCTGTTTCCTCAACTCCAACTCCTGTTTTTGCATTTCCTGTGCCTGTTCATTTTTCTTTCTCTCAGAAAGCTCACTGTGTCGCTGCCGCTTGATCATTTCTTCCTTTTTCTCCCATCGCTTTCACTCTCGTCTGCTTTCCTTTTCTGTGTTTGTCCAAGTCTTTCCATAGCCTTCTTTCGAACGCTCTCAGCATTTTTTCTGTCTTCACTGTCCTTCATTTTCTTCTGGTCATCAACAACCCTCTGCTCGGTCTCAGCTGCATCTTCTTTGTCAATTAATTCTTCTAATGCCATTTCAAATTCTTTCATATCAGTTTCGATTCCAATTTCTTTTTCTTCTCGTTTCAGTTTGTTTTTTCAGTTTTTTTGTTCCTTTGAAAGGAGGTTGTAACGATCTCGGACTGCCCGCTTGTCAACTTTAAAGTAACCTTGCTGAATTTTTTTTAGGTTTTCGGCGACCTCTTTCCACTTAGTTCCTCTTGCCACTGTACCCTTTTTCGTCCCAGTAAAGGGATCTACAACCAATATTTCTCTGCATAACATCTCGTCGTGTACAGTACTCCACACAATTGGCTTCCTGAAGATTATAACCAAAATTAATTCTTGAATAAAACGGAATATGTGAATCCGGACTGAAATGTTTAATTACAGTATAACTCAACAAGAGGTAAACAACAATAGGCCATTATACAGTTGTGTACTTAGTTGCCAAGCCTTTTATCTGGAGTGAAGCTGAAGGTGACCTTGTTGTGATAGAGACCAGTATCTAGTTAGCATGATAACAAAGTAATTTGCAATTGAAAAACAGCAAGGTTTGTATCATAACAAGGTCACCCTTAGACTCATTCCTGTTCAAAGGCTTAGCAACCAAGCACACAACTGTAAAATGGACTATTATCGAGTTGTCTAAATTTTATTTAACATCAATTTATCCTTCTATTTTTTCTCTCTAATCGATTTGAACACTTGATTAGTATAAGAATTCTTCAACTTTTAATACTTACACTGATTTACTTCTCCTCGCAGTAGTTAACGTTTGCGCGGGAGCATCTATGGATGGCGACTGAAACAATAAACAAATACTGACACAATGAATACATTTATAAATATCTTTTCCTATTTGAAGTCATTTACAACAAAAACACCAAAAATATGATGTTTATAAACATCCCCATCAGTATATCTGGAAATGGAATCAACTACAACGTTTTTCATGTCAAAACAAGATGCAAAATACTCACGTTCTCGACACGACGGCGAAACTCACTAAATGGCGTCCTCGACGAGACCACGACGGCAAACACGCGAGAGAGGAGCTCTCGTGTGCATGCTTGCTAATGCAAATTTACCTCCGGTAGCCGTCCCTATTGCGTGACAGAAAATGACTGAACCGTTGATGATTGAATGCTTGTGACAAAAACTCGTGACTCTCATGGAACGATCAGTATAACAGCATGCGGTCGTCGATGTCGCTTACAATGGATGTGTTCACAAGAGAATTTCGTCTACGGAATTTCAGGTTGAGTTACCCCAATGGCAGAGTCTTCGCTGAATCACCGGTGAGGATGTTTGGGTGAACTGTTTACGTTCGTATATTCATAGTTTTTCCTTTTGCGAGTCATATTGTAAAGCGGAAAATATTATCAGTAATCTCGTTGTACCGGATAAAATTTACTCCGTTAAACTATGCCGAAAGAAAAGGGCAGAGGTAAATATGCCGGTTATAATTAGTGTTCGTACCTGTCGCTGACAAAGGGAACGTGTTAAAGCATATTACTTTGGGGTTGCAATTGCTTTGTGAATCTTAAAATCATAAAACTTACGAGTCTTAAACAAGCCCAAGCATTTTTTGATGTTACAGCTAAATTAAGAGGCAGTTAAGGCAGAAGTTATTGCGGAAGAACGGCTTTTTCACTGTTATCGTTCAGGCTTAGCACCGAACCAAATGCCCGTCACGTATTCTTTTTAGAGTCTGTTGAACAGGCCCTGACGCATGGAAAGGCACGAGCGTGACAGGCCACCTATTGTATACCGCCGTCGCACTTGTCTCCCGTCAAGCGAATTTGCATTAGAGCGACGGCCACTTGACTCGAAAATTGAAAAATAAACCTGAGTTGTTTCCTGTTTCCACAGTGGCTCCCTGTATCATGTGTTGTAGGATATCGACTCTTGGTTACCCTGTACTGCGCTAGCTGGATAATCTACAGTGTTATCAGAGACAACACTTGGAAATGGCTCATTTACCTAACAGACTGGTCTTTTCTGTGCGTGACTACTTACTTTGTGTGCAGCACTCTTACTTCTCTTATATATTGGGCACATCATCGTGGTAAACGTATGGATAATGAATCAGGGCATGCGTGCACTCCAGAGGAACAAACGTCTTCACAGAGAGATCCTTATTCACATACCACACGTGTGACTCCTGAATCAAGTGACTCAGGGGATGGTTCGCAGCAAGAACAGTATTATGACTCTTATGAGGATACTGAACAAATCGAAGCATCGGCACAAGCTCAAGATATTGATAAAAGTGAGATTCCATTGGTTGTTGTAACCGTAGATTATTGCCAAACATGGTATCACAAAGTCACGTGGCTGTTTTACATCATCGCTGCAAACATTGCGCCTGTTGTAACAGTAGTGTTCTGGAGTCTTTTATATTCAGGAGGCGCTGTTCATGAAATAGATATAGCTTTTCATGCAATGAACTCGGTTTTTATGTTGATAGAAACTTGTCTTAGTTCAATTCCCGTATGTCTTTTCCATGTGGTTTACGCTGAGCTGTATGGAATTATATACGTTATATTTACAGTGGTGTATTGGCAGAGTGGTGGCACTGACACCAATGGCGAAGACCACATTTATCCACTCCTAGATTATGGGCATAAACCATATATTACTGCTCTAGCAATCACTGTCATTGCATTAGTTGGGCTTCCTTTGGCTCAGTTGTGGAATTTCGGAATGTTTACACTGCGGTGTCATTTTAACAGGATGAGAAGTCGTCAATAATCGAACAGTAGAAACTCTGTATTTCCATCCAGAACAAATAAATTATAGGTTTTTATGTTCCTGCATTAAGGTAGACTGGTATCCAAAGTTTGCATCTTTGATTAAATCGCGACGTTGACAGAAATATTTTCTTGTTTAGTATCTTGTTTAGTATTCTTGTTTTGTATCTCGTCCAAAGCTCTGCACACCTACAGGGTTAAAAGGTGAGGGATTCTGCACACAGGGGTCAAATGTCTGCGCATGTGCGTTTGCCCATGTCCTAAACAGTGGCGTGTTTTCGGGCTGTCAAAACCAAGTTGTTTCGCGCTAGTTATAAACTAGCACACAAGCTAGTAAGTCACGGTGTTTTGGAAGCGTAAAGCTGTTTTGGTAATACTCAAAACAAACGGACTGGATCACGGATCATGCCAAATACGAAGTGACTAAGCGTCCTGCGGCCGGACACGGTCTTAAAATAACCAAACGTCCGTCAGTCCGATATTTTCCCATATTTCTCTTCGAAATCCAAAAAACATTTAAACGACACTGTTCAACTTTTATTTAAAATCCTCAAGCGCTTCCAGGTAGCCAAAAATTTCGAACTTGATGTTTTTCGCTAACCCTGTATATAGCGAGCGAAGCCATCTAAGTGCTTGACACTTTCAATGGAACGGCCGGACACGGTCCTTAAATAACTCCGTGTTTCTATTTGAAATACCCCAATTTTCCCTGAATAATTTTTTACCTTTATTTAGAATCCTTAAGCGCTTCAAGAAAGTGGAAAAGTTCGAACGTTGTCTTTGTCACCGACCTTGTACACAATGTACGAAGAGATACAAGCGTGACACTTAGAAAATTTTCTTCGAACACTGCCGGACACGGTCTGCCAATAACTGAAACGTCTGGCAGTTCGACTGTTCCACTCAAGTCAGCACTGCCGGACTTTTTTTTTGTCAAATTTCTTAAACAGCGTAAAAGCTCCGTAAAAGCCATCACCTGTCCCCTAGCCCCTTTTCTTTCACTTCCAAACTTCCAGGAGCACCGGAGGGCATACTGGAAAAAATCTCGTTATTTTCTTCTGGTTAAAAAATTACTCTTTCAACTAGCTACAATGAGTCTTATCATCTTGAGTTCTTCCCATCTTCCGCTAGCGTAGCAGACCGTGTGCTTTATTTTGAACACGCGCAGAAGTCAACCGGAAGCAATAACTAAACAATGTAAACATGCGTAGTTAAAACCGTAATCCCACGAATTCCGTTCATATACAGCTCTATGGCGACCATACCGTTGATAAAGAGCCAAAATGACTCGGATGGGCTGGAGATCAGAGATGCCTGTGGATGAAGAGACTGGGTTGGAACCGGAAATGCGCATTTGGCGCATGACGTCAAAGAACCGTTTGTAGTACAGTATTACCATTGAGACAATTGAAGTTTGTTTACGCACATCAAAACCAGTGAGTTGGTGTATACTTGAATCCTATTTAGTAGTTACTGACCAAGTGTCCATCATGTGCCGCGACGAGTTTCGTTTATCTCAAGTCAAATTGTATCATTCTGACGCCAAAGATTTCATCCGATCACTGGTGAGTGCATATCTAAGTTATTTCATGGATGTTGTAAGAATGCGAATAAATAACTAGCGTTATTAAGTCAAAAAGTTGACCGAAGGGTTCAGTGGATGATCACTGACCTTTAGCTCTCACATTTGCCACGTTATAAATTTTCCATCAGGGGGATTTATGTGTTGATGTCAGCCCCTTGCACTCAATGTTCGTGTTCCTACATCCTGTTGATATTCCTACCAGTTGTTTGTTTTCAAGCGTGTTATTGTTCGATCGATTTCGCATAACTTTGACGTTAATATTTAAAGCAAATAATTTTTAGCAGAAATGGTCTAATTCTATTGTTTCATTAAATCGCTTGGCCGAGTGAAGTTGTTTCTGTTCTATTGGAGTTATGGGTGAAAATCTAGGAGCGGATGGAACCCAGCGTGCCGCTGTGTGTCCTATCTGCACGTCGGCTCTACCTCACTTCCTAAATTTGATTACAGCAAAGAGCATTTTAAACATATTAGGTGATCTATCAATTTGCTGGTGAGCTGTTCACTGTAGATTAGTAGTTGTTATTCGTGAGAATTTTCTTCATTAAGAACTTGTACTATCTAAAAAATGTTTGTCAACCTGTGGCAATATTAACCACTGTTTAGTGATACATGAGTGGGTGTGAGAGATGTTCAAGTGTGTCGTCATAAAACTCGCTGTTGACGAGTAATTATTTGTCACTCAAAGCTGTATTTTTTTTTCAAGCACTTAATGTTTATTCGAACTGTTTGTTTCTCTCTCTTTCGTAATGTGAAGCGCTTAGAGGTTTACCTTCGGCTTTATATGAATTTCACTTTATTTAATTTATTTATTCAGTCGAGAGCGAAGCCTTATTTGAGCTCTTTGTTTTGCACGTCACGTGAGAGGGCAAAAATATTTGTTCTCGTTGGGTATTGATATCAATAATTCACACATTCCCCTGTTCTTTTCCTTAGTGGCTCCCAGCTGCCCTGGTGACGGCATATCGCTGTGTTTTTAGCGCGTATTGCTTGGGTTGGATCATATATAGCGGTTTCCATCCCGCTAATGGCGCAGAAAAATGGTTCATCTATTTGACAAACTGGGCTTTTACCTTTGTGACGATGTATTTCTTGTGGGCTTCTGTTGTCAGCGTTCTGCATCACTTTGGAATCACAAACAACCAGGTGGACATGCAAATGAAGGCTATTGGCAATCATGACAGTGACGCAGAGGGAGGAGAAGGCCTGGGCGATAGTGTCCATAAATCCGCAGTGAAGATGTCGTGGTATCACAAGGGATTATGGGTCGTTTTTAACATTGCTGCCAATACCGCCATTATGGTGACCCTTTTGTACTGGACACTAATTTTTGGCGGCACAACCAGTGGTCTGGATGTGAGTACCCATCTGATAAACAGTGTTATGATTGTTGCAGACATAATGCTGAGCTGCGTTCCTGTCAGAATTCTCCATGTTGTCTATCCACTGGTCTTGGGTATTTGTTATCTGTTGACAACTGTTATCTTTTGGGCAGTTGATGCGACTAACGCTCGTGGTGAGCCATACATCTATTCCTACATAGATTACAACAACAGCCCGGGTTTTTCAATCGGTCTTGTGTGCGGCTTTATTCTAGTTGGGCAGCCTGTGGTTCAAAGTCTCCTTTTCGGTTTGTACAAACTACGCTGTTTTCTGGGCCTGAAATGTGGCAATAAATCGTAACCGAAAGCTTTATATGAACAGGACTTCATTACAATAGTTATACCCAATCGCTTTTCATCAAGATTGTAGTACAATTTAGTGATTAAAAAATGTCACGAGACAAATATTTATTTCCAAGTATTGTTTGAGATACATTATATCTCTTAGGTCGTGATGGTGAAAACTTGTAACAGATAACTGTGAGATGCGCTTAGTCTCTCTTTATTCGACATACTGATTTTGTATAAATAAATAAACGTGGTGAGTCTCTATTAAACGGTGGGGTATTACAAGACACAAGGTTTCCTCATCTGAGTTGATAAACGTAAATTGGCCATCGTGAAGAGTTTCAAAAGCTGACGTTTAAAGCCGGCGTTCGCCCCTCGCCAGAACGAAAGGGGAAAGGACTAACGCTCAAATTGCCAGCTTTTGAAACTCATTTCGTAGGCCGCCACCAATCATTATACATCACACTTACCATGAAAAATCTGATTGATCGAGAGCATTCAATCGATAAACAATTTATCATATCGAGTTCACCGTCTACCTAGTTTCCAAGCCCCTTGCCCGTGTAGTTTTCTTGAACTTTTGCAGTCTTAGAGAGAAGTGTTTAAAAACTTGGTAATAAAAACAATTATTTAATTCAGTTTTAACATGTTATCTCAGCGCTCGGCATTAAGAATTCATGATATCGTGTCCAACCTCATCCAAAAATTGCTTATCATCAACCCAGTTGAAAAAAAACCAAATTATCTTGATTTTGTCCCACCATACCGCGTTTGTTGAAGAATGTGAAGAAAATAAATACAAACATATATGCACAGATAAAAGCACAACTTTTTAAGTAATCGGCGTTAACCCTTCACATCCAAACATCAGGATGCATATACTGTTCTCTATACATTTCCTTTGCAGCTGACAAGGAGAATTTGTTTAACAATCAAGAGCTTCTTTAGTTGGTGATCATTTCCTTTATTATTGTGACCCTCATGTTCAATTCAGGGGCGATATTGTAAGGAGAGATTAGATGCTAGTCACTCTTAGGTGTCAAAGGGTTAACATTTGTCCGTAGTAAATGACTAAGTTTAATTTTATCAGAAATTTTATGAATAGATTTTAATTTCATATGGTTATAGGACCAAAACGGTTCTCTTAACCCTTTAATTCCTGAGAGTGACCAGCATCTAATTTCTCCCTTCAATATCACCTATGAATCAAACATTAACGTCATGAGAATAAAGGAAGTGATAATTAACTAAAGAACCTTATGATTGTTAAACAAATTCTCCTTGCCGGCTTATTAGAAAATGTATGAAGAAAAGTATGGAGAATATGCATACTGATGTTAGGGTGTGAAGGGGTAAATCACCTAACTGTTTTCTTGTCCTTCAATGTCGTTGAATATTTTATGCGAAGAAAAAATAGGTAATTAATAAAGAATGAAAATATGTAAACTTGCGTCTATTTTTGTTTCCTTTTATCAGTTCAGTCAGAGATTATCTTTTTACTAAGCCTGAAACGTGCTCTTAGTGCGGCCCACACTAGAGAGTTTATACTCCTAGGATGGCCCAATATTTTTAAACTTCCTGTCAATTTGTCGGCTTGTTTTTTCATAAGTGGTCTTTTGAATCTGCAATTTAATTTTCGAGTCTTTTTTTGTTTTCTGACGATCTTTAACGAGCTATCCTCTGTTTCACCTCTATTCTGAATTTTTACTGACAAAACAACAGATCGGAAGAAGTCTGTAAACTATGCAAGAAGCCGATGTTGAGAAGGACAACACGGGAATGACGTAAAGCCATTCCGTGGCGTGCCGGTGTTTCAAGCATGTGGTCACAGACTTGATGAGTCACCCGGGAGATGCCATTATCATTGTTAGGCAAATCAACATAACATTGCGGAATTGTTTGTGTCCAGTGTAACGCCATTGAATTAAGACATGTGTCAGTTGGTTTTAAACAAGGTCGCTTCTCTTGTTCTGCTAGTCTCATATACCTGATGAAATGTGGAGAACGGAGCTTCAAGACTTCAAGGAAGAATTTCAACTTATACAATTCCGTTTAATCTACTCAAACTCTGGCGATTTTGCCGAGTCCCCGGTAAGAGTGTCATCGATTTCGAGTATCAGCAAATGTCGCCATTGTTCGTGTATTTGCATGAGCAGCCATCGGCTTTTTCTTGTTACTCTGTATCTTTTTTTAGATGAGTACATACTTCTCAGTCTGAACTCAGATAGTCAGTTAAAGAATCTCTGAATGCTTTCACTTAAACTGTGTGTAATGTCGGCACTAAAGCTCGTAGCGGTTTACTGTTAAGTCTTCGAACAATTCATCGATCTTCAATCGTCTGAATCAAGACAGCAAATAATTTCGCTCGTATGACTTAATTCATTTTTCGGGAGAGATTTTTGAAAACGGTAGATCTTAGTATTTCGAAAATCAACTTTAAGGCCCATACACATGTTTTAATTACAATATTGTGTCCAAACATCGCTAGGATTTCGAATTTTTTGCTTGAGATAGCATTAGATTATTTCCTCTGATAGTCACTATTCTAATTTGTTGATTTTAAATTTAGCATATAGAATAGTTCTCATTAAATTATCGGCTGTCGTTCAAGGAGATCGATCAGTGAGGTACATATAGAGGTTTAACTGTTTTCATTTGTCGACACTTTCATTACTTTCCTCTTTGATTATACTTTAAAAAACGACATACTCGACCCGGAACTCTTCACTATATAATTAAACTGTAAAAGTACTTATGTGTATATTTTTCGACGCTTCGCTGGATTTACGGCTTCAACACAATTTATCCAGAAGTTTTTAAGTATCATCACTCATTTCAATCTCGTTTCGAGGACGAGCGTCCAAATTTTTTTTCGAACTTTACTAACAGTATCCAGATATAAAATGTACATAGTCCAAGGTTTAGAGCATATTTATAAACCTAGCTTAAACCAAAAGGCAACAAAGCGCCGTCTTAAATAATCGTGGCTTGGAAGAGTGAAAGATCTACTGGTACCAGAAGCTCACAGAAGGTGACAAATCCACATCATTTTGACGAAAACACATCGTTTGATTTTTTTTAATGTCGTGATGTACTTCAATCGTGTTTGTTAGCGCCCAATTTTTCTTCCAAATTATTTCTGAAAACGGGCTTCACTCGAAAATTACCATGAAAACTCCATTAACAATTAGTACGCAACTTTGATGATGTGTCACGCGATCGATTGAGTTTTCAGCTGATTACCATTCCTTCTCCAGCTTTAATTATGAATAAATTAGTTATTTGGATATGCGTGACCTGAAATTTAATATCCTTTCAAGAAGTAAGAGCCTTTTCTTGACTGATATAATTCTTATGCAATTGTAAAATTTCAGAAAGTACCAAATATTGGTTACCGTACCCGACTTAACCGAATTTGCTAACAGTTATTCACAACTCACTGATTTGATTAGCAACAGCCAACTTGTAAAGGTTAGGAACTCGCATACTTTCACTGTATAGCCCAGTAAATTCAAAAGCTAGTTTGTTTGAATTAAAATCTTCCCCCTCTATTTAAGACCAGAAATATAATAAATATGTTACTAACTTCGTATTCTCGGTATTTGCTGTAAGGAACGTTGTTTTTTTGCGCTCAGATTTATGGCCCGCGTGTTTCACGCTTGGGCCATAAATCTGGGCTAAAAAACCCAGTCCTTAACTTACAGTACGGACCTCGAACTCCGTTAACAAGAAGTATGTATATCACAGTTATTATTTCCAAAAAACCCTTCAAAATTGAAGGAAATTTTCCTCTCTGTTTCAGTGGTTTAATGTTTCCGTGATATTCACATACCGCCTTATAGTTGCTGTTTACTGCCTCGCCTGGATTATTTACAGCGGTTTTCATCCAGCTAACAAAAATCACAAGTGGTTTATTTACCTCACCAACTGGAGTTTCTTGTTTGTGACATTATACTTCGTATTATCCACTGTAATAACAGCGGTGTACTACAGAGGCGAATGCAGACAGGGCGAATATGAAATCAGAAGTCCAGAACCAATTCCATTGAGGCGATCTCGTTCAGGAATTTCGCGTTCATCAGACATAGATACACGCGATAAGTCGCGTGAAGAGACACGCGCGAAGTCAGAATCTCGAGATTCCACGCGAGAGAAAGCTAGAAGTCGAGAGGAGGTTAAAGCTTCGGTAAATCCGCTGGAAGTTATGCAAGAGCTTCCTATGTCTCGTTATCATGAAGCATTATGGGTAATATACAACATTGCTGCAAATACGGCCTTACTCATTACTGCAACAAACTGGGACTACTCTGATTTTCAAATGGATGGATTGATAGTTACCACTCAAATCCTCAATACTGTTTTTATTTTGATCGAGACTTTACTGGGAACAGTTCCACTTCGTTTATTTCACGTAATTCATCCAATGCTTTTTACTACTGTCTACATCATGGTTACTGTAGTTTACTGGGCGAATGGGGGTACAAACATCTTAGGTCAACCTTATATTTATTCAAAATTAGACTACAGCGGAAATCCAACGCAGAGTATTGGGACCATCCTTGGGTTCTTCTTTGTTGGTCATCCGCTGACCCAACTTGTTTTATTCATTGTGTTTCGGGTTCGGCATTGGTTGAGCAAGAAATTTAGCAAAAAACTTATTTGGTGAAAGGAAGGAAAAATTCAACACACCACCAGGTGAAATTTTATCAAGATTTGTCCTCTGTTTGACACTTTGATAATAGTAAATCTTAGATTTACCGATGTCATCCATAATTCCTAAATCTTAAGCTTAAAATAAAGTGTTTTCTCGGTCAAATAGCGTAGTTAAACTGAAAAATTTCATAACAACGGTGGTAGTGATAAATGACAAGTATGCGCACTCATTTTGTCGCTGTGTTTGACTGGGTGGCTCTGAGGCAAATTGTCTTACACGAGTTACAAACAACCACACACGCCAGTAAGTCATGATGTTTTAAAAGCGCATAACTTTTTTGGTAAAGCGAAAAAAAGGAATGAAAGATCAAAAGGATACCAGAACTTGAATAAGCTTTTCGAGAAGTTTCGAGTTTTCCTTTTTCCCACTTTTGTTTCCTTTGACAGATTTCTACAAACGTTTCTATTTGCTTTCGCTTATTTTGCGAAACAGCAGTTGTTTCTTATGTTTTCCTCTGAAATTATGCTCAGGAAATTGGCTTGCAGCCGGTCAAAATTAATCCCTTAGGGCATGCCCAACGTTTGACCGCTGTCTACACGAGCTAACGTTATCACAATCTCGAGCCAAGGGTCATTTGTCTCCTTGCCAGCGGTATAGTCGTCAAATAATAATCTCTGGGAGAACCGATTTATTCAATTTTTTTGATTGGTTGATAGGAAAACAATAGACTCCACACAGGAAGTGTGATTTACGGAAGGGATCGATCGGGCCGGAAGTAGAGCATTAGCAACGATAAATTTGAATTGTTTTTATTGTTGTTATTGTTGTTGTTTTTTTGCGTGAAAGTTTTTACTTATAAACTGCCTTTTGATACGTGAGGGAACATCTAGCTAAAGCCGCAGCGTGTTGCAATGACGGGAAGCTGTTCCAATTGTTTGAAGTTTGTTTGAAGCTGAACCAATTGTTAACTTGAGTGACAAGCAGAAAGGAAGGAATCGTAGAAGTCGTGCGAACGTACGGAAATGTGCTAGTGTAAAATAGTTCGACATTAGAATGGCATAGTATTCAGTATCAAAGAAGAATTCGAGAGCCCTAAATACGTAAGGAAATTGCAGAGAAAAGGGTTCCGTTCTTAAAAAAACAGAAATGAGGTCTGTCGCCATCCAAAGCCCTTCTGAGGCCACAGTTTCACTATTTGCTTCACCGTAAGTAAACCACTCAAAAGATCCATTATACCCACGTCTCGTGTACTCCAAGATGACACTTCAGATGGAAACACAGAGGTAATCGTTTCGTATTTATCTATGAATCTTGCAAGAAATAAATTCTCTTTTTCTTACACCAATACTTTAACACTAAGTTAAACAAGCAATCAACAGGGATTGAAATACTCGAGAAGGCTGGCCATAGAAATGCTGAGGTCCTTAAGTATGAAGGTTTCATATGATGCTACCTTTACAGCTGGTTTGCATTGTGATAAGCATTTTTTTCACAATTACAATATACATGTATGTCATTCAAAATTCCATGTCAATATATTTTTGTCCAATTTACTATGATCAGAAACGTTCAACAGAGTTTAATTAATTCAAAATGAAAATATTTACCAATATATGGAGCGTTACCTTCTGTTTATATTTAGTTGACAGAACATGCAAATATTGAATTCAGGGATCAAGTATATATATGCTATGGGTTGCATCACAGCCGACAAGCCTTGCAACTGCAAAAACAAAATTAAACTTTTTATGTTGCTACCTACTTGTAGCGTCAAAGCACGTGCCAAATGCTAGTTTGTAGACGAGACTGATGAATAGCGCAGAAACCTATGTGTGCAGAAACCTGGAGCTGCTTGCTTTTACGTCTTACATGTAACAAGGAATGGTAACCAAGTCTTCCGTTGCATAATTTAAGGGAAGAAAATATTTTGAGCAGCTTATTAAAGAAGTGATAGGTTGACTTGCTTGATTTCATGGCCACTGTGAGTGTACTGTTGCACAAGGAGATGTTAGTCAAGTACTTCCAGTGTGTGTGATAGATAGTTATGCGATGAATACCCAATGCTGGGAGCTAAACCTTGTCCAAAAACTCATTTCTATCATCCTTGATATTGAAAACTCTAATCATAATATAACTATCATTTTAGTAACAACAAGCAATATTTAAAATATGAGACTTGAGCTAAAAGTCGTAACAGACTGAAAGAAATAATTCATAAACATGTTTTTTAAGTAAACTCAAGGTCAAGTAATAGTCTCAAAATTTTGCAAAATATAACAGATCAAGTAACAACTTTTATTTTTACTCCCTAAAGTTATTTTGGAACAAGTAAATGGTACAATAATTGTTAAATAATTTTATTCTCACTTGATGATGTGAAAGGAACATACTAAAGCAGTGTCAAAAGAAACTTGTTTAGCGTGTTTTTATTGTTAAGTAGATCAAGGAAAAGTTGTCTAAGGTATGCCGTATGTTAGGGGCGAATAAACGGGTGGTTTTATAAGAGTTTCAAAACATTGCTGTTTTTCTCTGTTTTGTAGTCATCCCGGTTCATGTGCAGTCACCTGTATAATCATCAGCTTTTGCATCAGGAGAAGAAGCAGGAGGACTTCTCTGGAATCTAAACCAATCGCTTCTAGAGTTTTGCGTTGTTCTTTTTTCATTTCCTCTGAGCCCAATTCTCTTAAAGTAGATGAAACTGCTGCATCCATGCTTGCTCAAAGTCTATTTTTACAACTAACTAGCTTGCGATCGATTCACCTCGCGCGAGAAGCTGAAAACAGCGTAAAAACTGCATAAAAGGCCGTCACTTATCCCTTTTTCTTTCACTTCCAAACTTCCAGGAGCACCGGAAGGTGCACTGGTTTCACCGGTTTCTTCTACTGGTTTATAAATTACATGATAAATTACATTATATTAGTTATGATGAGTCCTAACTTCACCTACGCAAAGGTAATTTACGTTCTTTTCTTCTTCCGCTGGCGTAGCGGACCGTGTGTTCTATTTTGAACACGTGCAGAAGTCAACCGGAAGCAATAACTAAACAATGCAGACATGCGCAGTTAAAACCGGAATCCGACGATTCCTGGGATAAAAATTTGATTCTCCCAGAGGTCATTATTTGGCGATCATACCGCTGACAAGTAGCCAAAATGACTCTGGGCTCGAAATTGACATTACGTTTAGTAACTTCATGATTATGATGACGTTTCAAACGTAATCAATTATTGGGCGCGCGTGTTTGCGTTAATTTATTGTGAAAGTCATTGTTGCAATGACTTCAATCTGAGGACTTTCATCTTTCAGCTTTTCAATTTAATGTGAAAGATACGCACAATGTAAACAATTGCAACAAGAAGGACATAGCTTTTCCACTGCTAGAAAACCTTGGGAGCAAACAGAAAGTTTTTAAGTGAACGTAAAAAACCACTGAAAGGTTAGGAAAATTTGGTATTTTTTATACACGCAAACAAGGAGAAAAATATTACAAACCTTACAAACAAAACCAAATTAATTTCAACAGCCAGTCAGAGCAAGGAAAGTACAACGAGAGGCAAATGAGAGTTCGAAGTTTAAACGAGCAGAGTGTCTTTAGTGCGGGAAAGCGCGAGTTAAAAAGAAGCGATTGGTTTTAGTTTTGCATCTGATTGATTAAAGAAGTGGCACGAGTTTTTTGGACCAATCACATAACGAAGTAAAGCACAACCAAAGAAATCCCGGATTACTTTTAATACTCAATTAAAAACTACTCTAGCGAGTTTGTTATGCAGTAAGGCCACTTTTTAATTTAATGAAATTATCCCACTGAGTTTGTATCATTAGACTTTTAACGACTAAACCTCCAAGAAAAAAATTTCGTTATTGCCCAGAAATCGAAGGGGTTGGAAAAGACTACGCTGCCAAAAGAGGACTTTTTGTTATGGATAGGAATAAAGTCTTGACAAACTTTTTGAAAAAGAACAAATTGGTTATGCATTATTTCTTGCTTGTTTGTAGTTAATCTTTTAGAATGGCGTCCAAGTCAAATGGTTTTGATGATATGGTTGAGTTGCCGCAAATCACTGAAAAAGACATCGAGGAAAACCTTCGCGTTCGCCTCAAGAAAGAAGTGATTTATGTAAGTCGGTGTTTTGTGAAAAATTGATTTCAAAATGCAAGTTTACCTCAACTCCTACTAAAGAAACAAGTTTAAATTGTCTAAATGGCCATATTCCTTTTCTCCGTCAGACATACATTGGCCGCGTGTTGATAGCAGTGAATCCTTTCAAAGTTCTGAAAATCTATGGCTCAGACGCCGTGGATTTCTACCGCGGGGGTGAAGAAGCAGACGATATGGGTACACCAAAAATTGACGACCGAGCAACCCGCTGTACAACTGCACAGATGCCTGCAGACATCTTGGATGGCAGAAGGAGAAGTATACAAAAAGAAACTTCAAGTGAGACTGGAATGTTCAAGAATATAAAGGTACATTAGGGCGCTTTTCGATTGAGTGTCATGAATCCAAAATTACAGTGACCACGACAGCCAATTAGAATAAAGGAAAATACTCTTAAGAACCAATGGTCACAACTAAATTGTCCAAAGCGCGGGAAAACGCAGGCGACTAAGTCGTGATCGGCTTTACTTTTTCATCTGATTGGTTGAGAAAAAGTGGTGCGAGTTTTCTGGACCAATCGCAAGGCGAAGTTAAGAAAAACCAACGCAATCCCGGATTACTTTCAACGCTCAATTGAAAATTGTTAAATCGTTTAACTCCTGACATCATTTGAAGTTTACCACGTTTAGATTGTTATATTTTTCACAGAAATTCGGACTCGTTCTCTTTGAATAGTGTTTATTGTACCTGTAAAGCAGGAAGCAACCAGCTCGAAGAATGTAACGCTAAGATTTTCCTTTTAAGGGTCCCAAGCCTCCTCATTTGTATGCCTTGACAAACACCATGTATCAGAATATGATGATGGAACATGAAAATCAGTGTGTTATCATCAGGTACATGTCAATATTTTTCCTTTTATTTGCTTTGATATTAGCTATTAGAATGTTATGCTACTCATGTGGTTTTATTTTCAGTGGAGAGAGCGGGGCGGGTAAGACAGTTTCTGCAAAACACATCATGAACTTCATTTCTAAAGCTTCTGGTAAAGGATCAGCAAAAGTTGAGGTAATGTTACTGTACACTTACTATATGTGAATATGAAGCTATTAATAGTATGAGAAAACTTCTACCCTTTCGAACGAGCTCTAAAATACTAAAAAAAAAAACAAAAAAAAATTAAAGAAGCAAAAGCAATAAACAAAACAGGAATAGAACAAAAGGATCTTCGAACACCTAATCGGAAGTTTAATGCTCGAACCAGAGAGATTCTAAGACAAAAGAGTGATTGGACTAAAGATATCACTGGTTTTGGATCAATTTCTAAAAAGGCTTTTGAGAACATTTTAATTATTTTAAAATGTTTTACCCGAGTAGGCAAACAGCAAACAAGTATGTTGAATATATTTTTGTGTCATTTTGTGTCATTTTGTGTAAATATGTGACAACAGAATATCAAGGACATCATCATTCAATCCAATCCCTTACTGGAAGCCTTTGGTAATGCCAAGACCACGAGGAACAACAACTCAAGCAGATTTGTAAGTTTTATTGAAATTAAAGCTACCTAAAAGAAAACAAAAACAGTTGAAGCGATAAAATTTCCAAAAAAGCAAATCATCGTTAGAGCGCTTTTCGCTTGAGCGTCGTAAAGCCAAAATCAAATGAAACACAACAGTCTATCAAGAAAAAGGTAAGTACCTCTATGAGCCAATGAGAACTCAAAGTAAAGACAAATAAACTCCCTAAAGTGCAGGAAGAAGCAGGCGATCAAGTAGCGACTGGATTAAGTTTTCATATGTGATTGGTGGAGAGAGAAGTATGAGTTTTCTGGACCATTTACAGAGCGAAGTGAAACAAAACCAATGCAATCTGGGATTTCTTCCAACACTCAATTGAAATTGCTCTAAATGTAAAAGAAAAGTAGATGTCCCTAAACACCTTACCAAAACTCTATGCTTGAAGCAGCTAGTTATCACTCAATAGATACCGCTTGCTATTACACTATTATTATACTATTATTATACTATTATTACACCATTATTATACTATTATTATACTATTATTATACTATTATTATACTATTATTATTCTAACCATTGTCTCTCATCAGGGTAAATTTATGGAAATCCAATTTAACTATTCCGGTCATCCCGATGGAGGAAAGGTTTCAAACTTTCTACTAGAAAAGGTGAAGTGGTTCTTTTAATCAATTTGAAATTTCTGAAATCGTTTTTTTTCTTTGTTGTTAATGAAGCACAATTTCTTCTAAGTCTTCCCGTTTAGTTTTCAATGATCCTTAATTGATGTAGAATCTGCATTTCAGTCCCGTGTAGTGACTTTGAACCAGAATGAGAGGAACTATCATGTCTTCTATCAGTTACTTGCTGGCTGCGCAAAAGAAAATCGAAGTGAGTGCAGTTTCTTTTGCTAATGCGTTGTCCTACTGTGTAAACAAGATCGTATTCTTAACCTGGTTTGTGATCTGTCTGCATTCATAATTGTTTTTTTTAATTTTTATGGTTTATCTTTTTTTTTTCTAGCTGATGTCGGAATAGAGGTCACCAAACCAGAGACTTATTACTATCTGAACCAGACTGGTGTTTACACAGTGGACGGCACTAACGACACTGATGATTACCATGATTTAATAGTAACTCTTCTGTTGATTTTTTATAAGCAGATCTCTTAAAAAAAATAGATTTCATGTTACCGTGAGTTTGTGGAACATAAAATTGCGCACAATGTCCAGACAAGTGTGTCACTGATATACTTACCACATTTTGACGTCTTTTGTCATCTAGTAGGGACTTTTAGCAGTTAGGAGTAAACGCCAAGGAAGACGTCGAGTTAAAAATGAATATATATATATATATTTAGATGTATATATATTATATATATTTCTCGACTGAATGGATTTGTTCACCATCTCTTATGGCGCCGCAATTTAACCTCAGCATAACGTACGAGAGCAGCGTTGAGTTCCAAATGGAAACTTAAATAATTTTCCGTCGGGGTTTCCTTTCTTGGACCACGCAAATTTTGATGACTTCACGTTGTTATTTCGCAGAGGACGGCTTAGAAATGTTCACAGTTTTAAAACGCAAGTGATGAGCTATTGTTCCGCTCATTAGATCTTTTGTTTTGCCTCGTCCTTGTTGCCGTCGCCGTCGCCGTCGCCGTCGCCGTCGCTGTCGCTGTCGCGGTTTGCTAAAGGTCCCTATTGCTGTGTAAACCCACGGTAGCATGGAATGTGTTTGTTTTTAGTGATAAAGGTTACGTCATATATTTATGACTTCCAAAAGATCATTTGTAAGAACCAATCAAGAAGCGCGTATAATTCAGCTTATCATACAAATGTCTCTGTTTGCTTAGTAAAGTTATTGATTGAGTTCTGATCTACCTATTTGTGCCCAAGTCTGTCAATTTAGGCATAATCTATTCAACCCACTTCATTTCAAGACGATCGTGAGAATAATTTGAAGAAAATGATTTAGAGAGAGTTACTACTTTTTTAAACATCTGCGTCAAGTTCAGACATTGCCAAATACTTTCCACGGATTCTTGCTTTTTCATGTCTGAAGTGAAAGACTCTTTAGATGGCTCCGATCTCTCGATGGTTAACAGTTGATACACGGTTGAAATTCCTAATTTTCTTTCACCCACAAAATTGCGACAACGGTAACAGACAAATGATCAAAAGGTGGACTGTGTTGTTCTATTTTTTTCACAGAAAGCCATGACTGTGGTAGGATTTGACCTGCAGACTCAAGGGACCATTCTCAAACTGGTGTCGGCCATCTTACATCTCGGTAATGTGCAGTTTAAAGAAGAAAGTAACGTGGCTGTACCTATCAATGACGACCGTGAGTATTCATAACTTTCTGTTTACTGATATCATCATTCTAAAAATCTCATAATAATTACCCTTGTTGATAGATATTGATTGCCCCATGCTTTGACGAGGTCTTCTAACATAATTGTATGTCTCACTCGACTTCGTGTTTGTTTCTTCAAAGTGTTAACCATGCCCGCGAAACTGCTCAGTGTCAACAAGGATTTACTCAAGGAGAAACTGGTTAGGTTAGTGATTCCGGAAAAAACTTGTACTTCCGGGGAAACTGGTTGGGTCAGTACTTCCGGAAAAACTTGTATTTCCGGAGAAACTGGTTAGGTTAGTACTTCCGGTAAAAACTTGTACTTCTGGAGAAACTGGTCAGGCTAGTACTTCCGGAAAAAACCTGTACTTCCGGAGAAACAGGTTAGATTAGTACTTCCGGGAGTAATTAGAAACTCACAACTTTGATGATTGCTTATCAATCGATTCTCCTCTTAAGAAATATCAATTTCGTTGTAATTTAATAGGATAAGTAATTTAATATTTGCGCACAGCCCTAATGTAAAAAGAGCGATGCCTTATTTTTGTAAGTTTCTCACTGCATATTTGTTTTTTTGTTTATTGTTATGTTTATCTATTATTTATTTTGAAATTTTGAAATTTTTTGTTTCAGCACCGTAATGGAAGCCAGATGGGGAGGCAAAGTTGAAATCACCAAGAAGACAAACAACGCTGAACAGGTTTAGTGAATATTCCGATACTTTTTCAGTTCTCTGATAACTAAATATACTAGCAAGAGAAAGAGATTAGTATGCTGCCTTGTTTGTGCTCAGTTGAATATTCTAAAGTAAAGAAAGGAATGGTTTAAAAGCCATTTGAGCATATCAGTAACTGCAGTTTTAGGGAGTAGACGTCAACACAGTAGGCAACTTTGCTCATTAAGACTACGTTTAAATGAATGCTTTGACTGGCCAACCCTGTATCAGGTCTCTCAAGGGGCTTTTCAACACAACGCTACGCAATTTTCTGACTGTGAAGCATGGTGAATCCATCACCCGGGTCTCGTAAATAAAAGAAATTCGTTCGGTTTTTGTTTGTGAGCGGTCAGTATTAGTACTCTTTTAAATATAGAGACATTTCATGATCATTTTTCCTTGCATTTTTGTGTTAGCTTTTGATGCGATTATCTGAAAACCCTAGCAAATTTGCATATTAGCCTTGAGCACGTGATGCGATTTCTGAGGAAAACCCTTGGGATATCACTATCTAATTTTTTTCCTAATAAAAATCGGGCAAAAAAGAGGAAAACGAACAGGACTGCACATTAAGAAAACCCTGATACGACTGCGAAAGAATCATGTGTTATTAGCCGGCTGGGAGGTCCGTATGGTGAATTCTGAAATTAAAACTTCGCTCGCCCTTTCACTACGAACAAATTGTTTGAGAAAATTCAGATATTAAATGGATGAAAGTTCAATCGATTAGTTCAACTGTAACCAAATACCTCACGTTTTAACTTTCTAGGTACTTTTTTTGAACGATTAAAATTAATTGCAGACGGTTTTCAGGCCGCTGGTTAACCAACGTAATGACACGATTGATTTTTCTGTCAACCAAAGTGATTTGAGAGAGAGAAAAGAGAGGATTTAGAAGTTATTTATCGGCCTAAGGTAGTGACCGACGTCTTTACTTAAAAATACTGCCCAGCCAGAAAAACGAGATATATTTATGAATAATAGCAACGGGCAATAGGGATGTACTCGGCGACTCACGAAAGCGTTACCGTTGCTCGTGGGCAGAGGTAGGAAAATACGGACCGCGTAAAGAACCAATCAGATTACAGGATTCGTTACCGTGCCCTCGGAAAAAAACTGAAATATCACAAACAAAAAGTTTTACCGCAAAATGCGAATACCGGTTTAAGGTTTTCATCAAATTTATGAAACTACTGGGATATCTTCGGTTAAGTGTATAATGTTTTCCGCGGCCATTATGGAGTGAAAGAAGGTTTGCGAACATACTTTTTAAAAGATTTTACAAAACTTTTCGAGACTCAACAACAACAAAGATCGAGACCGCGCGAACAACAAGCCCTTTGAGGGAAATGGTACCGAGTAAAGCAATCTCAGCGTTCGATCTGACGACAGTATCAGCAAAGTCGCGTATTCCTGTTTTGTTCGTAAAATTTGTCGCGGAGCTCTCAGCGAGTGACGCGCGCGCCACGACGCCCCATACTTATCACATTGTTTTTCTTTAAGGCTTTTTACCATTCCAGCTCTAGTGCGATTTATATAATAAGCTCAGTAATGCACGCATTCTGATTGGTTCTCACTTATCTATGATCTATTGGAGGACAGACGTATAGATGACGTCATCATCAAAAATAGATCTATTACTGAACAGACGCACGGCAACTTGGAATCTATTTGTTAAATAAACACTTTCAATCATGGAAAGTGAAGTGTGCGTCTTGTTAATTAATTGTACATTTTTTCCAATCAATTTAATTTTTGTTCCAGGCTCAGTTTGCTCGTGATGCTTTGGCGAAAGCACTATATTCACAGGTTTTTGATTATCTTGTTCGGGTAAGAACCTGGTCAGACAATGAGTTATCATGTTTCAGGGTCACCAGAAAAGTTATTTCAAAAACGATATTCATAGTATGATAACATAATAAAAAAGACAGTGCGATAGAAGCATTGATTATATAGTTTTGTTTTGAAAATGTAAGTATTTCCTTTAACTGGGAATTTATCTTGTGATTTATTATAAGAAATTAATTATAATAAATAAAACACGAGGTGATACTTTGTAAAATCATTCAGAGACTGGGAGAAGTTCAAGTCAACGGGAAACAAATACAGTAATTTTACAACTGCTTATATTTTTCAGAGTATAAACGAGGCAATGTCAAAAGAGAAAGACGAAATGTCTATTGGTGTACTTGATATCTATGGCTTTGAGATTTTTGAGGTATGGCCACACCATCGCTTAATTTTACTGCCACTACTGAATAAAAACCTATATTATATGTCAAGGTAGTCCTGAGGTAAGTCCGAGAATTCTGATTGGTTTTTAGTTGGTCCTTTCTTTGCCATACGGACCGTTTCCACCAAAACGGTCACAAGCCCCGTATTTTTGTTTGCGAAAGCCGGGAAATTCAAAATAAACAACCTAGGTCTGGGTGTCATTTAACAAAATACTGACTAACCTCGCTTGCTTGAGCCCGACTGAGGAATGTTGGCCCTCAGTCGTTTTTGTCTGGCTCTCGCTGCGTTCAGTCCGCACTACCTCGGGACCATATTCTCCAGTACGGCCCTCACGCTCGGTTGGATACTTTAGCTATTATTGACACATGCACCATTTTCTTTTTTTAGAACAATCAATTTGAGCAGTTTGCCATCAACTTTGTCAATGAAAAGCTGCAGCAAATATTTATTGAGCTTACACTTAAAACGGAACAGGTAGGCTTGGTTTATTTTCGTACTTCCGCTCCTTACGATGGAAAAAAAAATTGAAATCTCTACATTAGTATGATGTCTTGACCCTTAGCCTTTTCCCCTAGCGAAATGTGCTTCGTTTTCAATCCCCTTATTGTGTTTGCAGAGATTAAAATGGACTTTCTTGGTATTGTTATTTCTCTCCATCTGTGACTCAAGTTTTGAATTTTGTCTGTAAATTGTTTCGAAGGAGGAATATGTACAAGAAGGAATCCCATGGCAGGAAGTCAAGTACTTTAACAACAAAACAGTCTGCGAACTTATTGAGAGCAAGGTATTGCATATCCCTAATACGGAGGTCACCAGAATGGAACATCTGTAGTTCAGCTGAGTTTTAACTCAATTCTTTATTTTGCGACATCGGAAACGTCTTTTTAAACTAAAGGAAACTCATCTTTAAATAATGCCTATACACGAGAATATCAAGGTCCACAATGAATGAAAGCAGAAGTTTTTTAATTAAAAGTTTTCAAGACATTGTGCTCTTATCAAGGGAATATAAACTGTTGATAATCTCTTGGCTTTTAATCGATTACCTGTTCACCACGTGATAATGACTATGGAAGCTCGTCGTTTTGATTGGTTGAATGTTTGTAGCGTCCCCCAGGTGTTATGAGCACTCTTGATGACGTCTGCAGTACAATGCACGCAAAGACCGAAGGCTCGGAGAAAACTCTAATGGAGGTACTTTAGTACAGTACTTGGGCTTGTTAACATTCATGTTTTCCATTTGATTGATTTGGTTGTCAGAAAGGTGTGTCACACTGAAATAAATTGGGCAAAGGAATCTTTGTAACACATATCCAAAGAGATAAACCCAGCCGTAATTATGATAATAAGTCTTTGCGATGGTAGTTTTTTTGGTAGTAGTCTGTGTTTAAGCTGTGTTGGGAATGAATGAGCAGTGTAACACGGGGCAATCACACGACTCTCTTTATACCACTCTTTTCTTTCTCAAAAAAGGGCTGAAGTGCCATCTTCATGTACGCGGAAGTAGTTGTTCTTTTAGTTTCCCGTGTAAACCATGTAACATCCTGGTATAAATCATAGCTTAGGTATTCTTTAACCCTTTTAAGTCCTGAGAGTGATCAGTATCTAATTTCTCGTTACAGTAATACTATTGTATCATTCACTAGGATCACGAGAATAATAGAATTGATCGCCAACCGAAGAAGGTTTGACTGTTTAACGAATTCTCCTTGTCAGTACCAAAAAAGAAATTATAGAAAACAATACGAAGAAGACGGATACTGGTGTTAAACTGTAAAGGGTTAGCGGATGATGGGTTGCTCATGATTCTGGACTTTGTTCCATTTTTTTTTTTAACAGAAACTTCGAGCAGTTGTGGCTTCAAATAAAGACTTCAGTCGTTATTTCAGAGCGCAGTCAAACTATTTTACGATCACCCACTACGCTGGAAATGTGAGTTTACAACAAAGCAATTGAATCAACCAGTGATATACATGTAGCTCTAAGCGTATCAATTTTGCTCTATCTTTCAGGTGGATTATGAAGCCAAAGGATTTTGTGAGAAAAACAAAGATATACTCTCAAACGATATGGTTGTATTAATGCGGTCTAGTGAGGAGTGAGTCATGATTCATATTAATCTCTAAAGAAAGTGAAAAATTATAAGTTAATCAGTGTGTTAAGTCATCTCTTTGCCGGACTCAAATTGAGCATATGATAAACTGTTTGACATTTAGTTATTTCTGCAAACAATAAACGGCTTCTCAAAAACCAATATTTCACACATTGGTGTTTCAGTGCATTTGTTAAGGACCTGTTCCCTGTAGTTGCGAACCCTGATAGCGGAGGTGGGCGTCGTGGTGGTGCGAAATCAAATACTGCTGGAGCAAAGATTAAGGTACTGCGCCAAGGGTCTATTTGCCTGTCACTATCGATAAAACGCTCAACTAAGGAAGATTACATCAGTGGTAACGTCACTATGTAATTTTGTCGCAATTTTTGTCATATAATATCACATAGAGGATAATACATGAAAGCGCGTACATGTAAAAATGGAATTCCACTGCGCTCACTCGTGAGATATCAAGTTGAACACGAGAAGAGAAATTATTTTTCTACAAGCAACCATGTATTCTCTGTGTAATATCATAAAACAAAAATTGCGACAAACGACCTCGGATTGAGAGTGGTGAATGCCTTGCCATTCATTCGCCAACCTGACAGAGTGGAGCAAAAGACGAGTGACGTGTTAGCAACTTATTGGCGATATCAAACACAAAAAAATTTATTGTAAATTTACACTTGTGCAGTTGCAGTTTTTCTCAGGGCCGGAAATCTTGAAAAAGAGTTTCAGGAGAATGGTGTCAGTAACTGTATTGACCTTGACAATGAGGATATAATAACATTGAATTGTAAGGACACTAAACCTATTCTTGTTATTATTTTGACTTGTTCACCAGTCCCAGGCGGCAGCTCTGATCACCAAGATTATGTCATGTACCCCTCATTACGTTCGTTGTATCAAACCCACTGAGTCCAAGAAACCGCTGGACTGGGACGACCAGAGGTATATATAAAAACCTTGTGTGCAAGGTTGATTCTTGAATTTCGATTGGTTAAATTTGAAAAGTTACAATACTCTATAAGAAAGACCAGCCTTGTTCTAGAGCCTCTTAACAGACTCCGTGTTCAACATTTTCTGTTGTTATACAAGGCGTTTATACTAAGTTCCTTATAAACACGATATCAGATTGGATGATTTGTTTTAATAATAAGGTCTGTACCCGAGCCAAGTGCCTAAAGCATGAAGCGACCAGGAGTATTAATTCCCCATCCTGGATGAGATTCTAGTCCATCACAACGTTACCCAGCATCATTTCATTGGGCTTCCCTGACAATTCGCCTGTACTCATTTGTACTCATGGGTGGAGAGAGGCACTTATGACCCAGCAAGGTCTCGAACCCAGACCTCTCGAGCCGGAGTCCAGCGCACTAACCATTAATCCATCGCGTCTCCCGTCGATGTTTTTAAGAGTAACCCTTGTTTTGTAGAGTTTCCGACCCGGAGATGGGAAGTTCTGAGATTCGAAGTATCGCGGGACACTCCCATACTTGTGACAATAGCGAGGAGTTACATATATCTCTTTCTGTGTGCTAGTCTTTGTTGGTTCGTTCATATGCGTACATAAAGACGATCGAGACTAATTCCTAACTTGCTTTTGTTGTTGTTGTTTTTTTAGAGTTCTTCATCAGATTCAATACCTCGGTTTAAAAGAAAACATTCGCGTCAGACGAGCCGGATTTGCATTTCGTCGTCAGTTTGAACTGGTCGTGCGCAGGTAAGTTTTAATTTCTTATTAACTATGAGAGTTTGATATTACTAGGACTAGAACATATTATTTATTGCTTCATAAGAGCAGTTTTCGAAAAAAGTGTCGAAAAACCAAAACCAATGACATCACAACTTACCAATCAGAGCAAAGGTCAACATCATGATGGACCAATGACAACTCAAAGTCAACATAGGCAACCTGCTTGAAGTGCGGGAAAAAGTGAGCGACGTACCAAGTTTGGAATGGTTTTAGTTTTGCATACGATTGGTGCTAATGGTAGCGCCAGATTTCTAGACCAGTCACAGAGCGAAGTAAAGAAAAATCAAACAAAAATCCACGATCCCTTTCGATTCTCAGTTAAAGACTGGCCCATTTTTTGGCACGCTATGGCTGCTTGGTTAACATTTAGACTGATTATTCTCAACTCGACACTTTTGGTGGTTCTCGCACACCGCGCAAAAGAGCGAAACCGGAAACACATTACTCGAAAACAGTCAGCGATTATTTGTACATGAAACTGTCTGTTCTAATTTTTGACACTTGATTTATCATTTTGTTCTACTGTTGTCAATGTGTCTTTACAGTATGGCTTGTTTTGTCTGGCCATAATGAATTTTCTCCCATATGCATAGAAAGGGATTTGTTTTATGATGACCATGATGAGTTGGATGTGTGTATTTTTAGATACGGTATTGTTTCCCCTGAAGTGAACAACTGCTGGACTGGTGACCCAGCCGAAGGTTGTAAATTAGTCATGAGAGATTCTGGCATCGATCCTTCTCGATGGAAAATTGGCAAAACAAAGTTGTTTCTCAAAGAACCAAATACAGTAAGTAAATTAGGAGGTTTTTTTTGTTTTCTAGTATAGTTAAAGACTCTTGTTAGGTCACCATATCTAGCTATTTGACGAACGCATTGGCAGAATCCCTATTGTTCTCGCGACAATTACATGCAGCGGCGAAAATGTTACAGATCTGGCCCCGGTTGTTCGAAGGTTGGATAACGCTATCCACCGGATGAATCGCTATACGGTGAACAATGCTGTACGTTTTGCAGTTACTTATCCGCCAGATAGCGATTTATCCGTTGGATAACGTTATCTAACCTTTATACAACTGGGCCTTGTAATATTAGCGGCGAAGCGTAAACAGGAAGGCTACCATTGGTCGGAGATCACGCGCGCTTTTCTCCGAAGAGAAGACTGCCGTAGCTCAATAACATGTCGAAGCGAAGCTAAGAAACAAAGGCATCGTAACTTATTGTCTCATCAATTTTTTCTGATATCACACTTACCGCGAGCATAGTTATTTGAACCTGGCTATTTCAAGCGTTGGATTTGTAATGGAAATATGGGTTCGAATTTTACCGAAGGCCAATTTTTGTTCATCTCTCGCTAAAACTGAACCTATTACTAAAATCTAATCAATATGAATTTCGCTTCATGTCAAGTCTCCGACAGTTTGACTCGTTGTAAACATATTGTTAGTTTCTAGATCGGATTTAGGAAAGGAATAAGATAAAATTACATTGATTAGATAAGTTGTCATTTTTTTTCAGCTTAATGAACTGGAGGATATAAAAAATAAAATCCTGGAGAAGTACTGTGTCAAAATTCAAGGTGTTTATCGGACCTACAGGCTGCGCAAAAGGTTTCTAAGGATACGGAAAGGTTCGTGCACATTATTTTTGTATTTATTCCCTGAGTGGGACTTTGCACGGTAGCGTGAGGCCATTGACTTATTGACCAATGATGGAGTTATGTCAAATGCTACGACATGCTACGACAGGTGTATAGAAATTCGAACTATATGCGAACTTATCCTGAACCTGTATTCTTAATAAAGCTTCGGACGTATTATCCTAAGTAAAGTGTGTCATTCTGCAGCCTTTCCCTACATCTAGGCCACAAAACTGTAAATCAAAAATTTATTTTTCAAATCGTCAATGCCATTCCCTTCAGTATCAACGAACGCTTTTCATTCGACTTATTTACTTTTGTGTTTTTCGCGACACCATTTGCCACCAATAGCGCAGCTCCATCTTCTCTGGGTAAACAACACACAACCCACAGATACTCTTTTAGCTCTAAGGAAGGGCTAACGCTCGAAACGTCAGCTACAAGATCCCTTTTTTCATTTAATTTTTTTTTCCTGTAATTTTATCTTCAAGGTGTTGTTGTGATTCAGAAGTGTTATCGTCGATACAGGGACCGCCATATTCTCGGCAGGATGATTGCCATTAAGAAATTGTTAAAAGGTAACGTAACACAAGGCAGAAGAAACAACAGTGTAATAATCATACTGTGAACAAAGACGCTACATCTAAGGGGGCCTTTTGGTTGGAAATTGGAAAAGTTTGAAAACTTTTTTGGTGAGAAAACTAAGGTGCTGTTGTACGATGTACCGTTTAAACAATATTTATGTGCAATAAAAGGCGGTTTATGATGTATTTCAGAAGAAAAAATAGCGATTTCTACTTTTTTTTTTTTAGCTTTCTTTTACCCCCCCTCTTCCACCCACCCCACTCCGGCAATAAATTATGACCGATCCCTAAGTATTGCCTTTATAGAGGTCGATGTGCTTGGTGATAAGAAGAAGAGAAGAGATTCATGGGATATGGGCTTCAAAGGAGACTACATCGGTTTTCAGAACCAAAAACCTCTGCAGAAAATCATGGGTAAGTTACTTTTTACATTAAAGCTCTGTTAACTCAAACCTCGAATATTCCGACCTGTTTCAGTGTATCAATGTAATATCTCCGGGTGTAGGCTTGTGCCTTTTATCACCGCAATTTAATTCGAGATATCTCAAAGTTAGGCGGGGAACTTGAGAGACTAGTTTTAGTACAGCACTGTAATTTTGCCCAGATTTCTCAAACCTGATATGTCAGTACATCACTGTAAATGCCCCCTGGTGTAGACTTGTTCGTATATCACTTCAATTAAACCCTGGATATCTCAAATATGGGCGAGGTCCTCGGGTATGGACTTTAGATAGTATAATGATCACTGTAACTTTATCCCGGATATCTCAGACTTAGGCCGGGTCCCGTGTTTGGACTTTTGTCAATGTATCAACGTAATTCCAAACTCGATTTCTGAAACTATCTTAGACCTACACAATCCAAACGAGACCTAGCTGACCTTAATTGTGTTTTGAATTCCTTTTCTAAATAAAAACTGTGATGCTTTTGTGTTTAGCGGATACCAGGGTTGAGTTTGCGGCTGAAGTCAATAAATACAGCCGTGATGGGAAGGTAAGGCTTGGTCGCTCGCTTTCATTTCTGTCGTTAAAAGTTTGTTTCTCAAGACATTCATTTTCTTTTGTCACAGGAACAAGATCGCCTCCTTATTTTGACAACGAGTTGCTTATACGTCATTACTCAAGTAAGAGTGGGATATTTAGACAGGCTGGCTCAGTTCAGCTTTAAAACTGAAAGAGGGGGATTGTATGAACATTAGGGACCTTAAGCAGTAAGGACGGCAACGCCAATGAAGACTTCGATTAAAAAAATGAATTTCTGCCTTTAATTAGAATTTCAAAAATGGCTGCATGTGTTTACCGTCTCAACTTCAGCATAGCGTATAAAAGAAGCGTTGAGTTCCAAATGGAAATTAAGATAATTTGCCGTCGCGGTTTCGGTTCGCAGACGACGCAAATTGTGGTGATTTCACGTTGTTGTTTTGCACGGGACGGCTAAGAAATGTATAAAGTTTTAAAACGCAAGTGCTGAGCTATTGTTCTGCCAATTAGATCTTTCGTTTTTCCATGTCCGCGTTGTCGTCGCCGTCGTGGTTTGCTTAAGGTCCCTAATAACAAAAGGTCAGCGGACCACAGCACCGGGAGCTGCCTTCCCTACTCTCTGCATTGCGTGAGTCCTTTAACGTCCCCTGCTAACCAGTGCAGAAAAAAATGCAAGAGACGGGGTATACAGTTTATTGTCCATATCTGAGAAGATTATACAATGTCTAACTATTTGTGGATATTCGAGGATATCATAATAAAGATGGCACATTTTCCTCAATTGTTTAAGACCCTGAGTGTTAATTCGGTCTGAGGCTTGAAACCCTCGACTTCCCGCTTAGTACTCCAGCGCTAACAACATGAACTAACCAACCTCAGTCTTCTTCTTTAATGAGTTTGGCACAGAGGACCAATACTTGACTGGTTTAACCATATCCTACATGAAATGAAAGATATTAGTTGAAGGATGTGCCTATTGATGAATTGTAAATGAAAAGTCAGTCTACATTTCACACTGGAAACTGTAAGCCATCTCTACACCTTCGAGCGGTGCACTTATTTAAGTTTACAATTGCTTTCACAGACGAATTCCTCTTTCACAGTTAGACGGAAGCTACCCATGACTAACATAAATCATGTAACAGTGAGGTATGTTATTTTACTGAATAAGCAGTGCAATGAAGAGGCTGTTTTTGCCGCAAGCTCGAACATGTTTTGCACAATTGCGTTGATTAATTAATTAAACCATAACGGGTGTGACATTAAAAGCTATAACTGTAGACCAGTAATAATCCTGGATAAGAAAAGTGCGCTCCATGGAGCATTGATATTTTTGTAATAAAATCCACCCTAAAACAAAACCTACAAACATCCATTGGTGGCTTGACTCTCAGTTTTGATTGATGTGCACTCTGATTTATTTAGAGTAACTCATTTCATTCAATAAAATGGCTGCAATTTAACAACATATCTAATCACAGCATCCAGGCCGAAGGAAGTTTAGATACCCGCATGAGATCAAGGACATGTGTGTTTGTAGGTCCAAAATGGTGTCGAAAAGTTGAAAAGTGATACCCGCGCGATATCATAAAATCGGTGAGACCGAAAAACGACATGAATAGAATGCATTCTCCTACTTTGCACTTAAATATGAATCATTGAGCTCTTGTGTTGTTGTTTCAGCCCCAATGACGACTCTTTCTTTGTACTTCATGCCAAGGAATATGATAACATATTTGAATGTGGCATGCTTCCTGAAGCTCTAAACAGATTAGCTGTTGTGTATCAACTGGAGAGAAACTCTGAGCTGCAACTTAATGTGTCTGACAAGTAAGACTAGTCTGTTCAATCTCTTACAAGTTTACTTGATATTCCTCAATAGGTCATTTTACAGTTGTGCACTTAGTTCCCAAGCCTTTGATTTGGAGTGAGGCTGAAGTTGACCACGTTGTGATAAAAACCAGTATCTGGTTAAGCTTAGTTGGCATGATAACAAAGTCATTTGCATTTGAAAAGCAGCAAGATTTGTATTAGAAGAAGGCCACCCTTAGCCGCACTCCTGTTCAAAGGCTTGGCAACCAAGCACGCAACTGCAAAATGGACTATAGGGACCTTAGGAAAACTCCAACGACGACGACAACGAGGACACGGTAAAACAAGAGATCTAATGTGCAGAATAATACCTCAGCACGTGCATTTTAAAACATTGTGCATTTCTTAGTTTTCCTCTGCAAAACAACTTCGTGAAATCACCAAACTTTGCATAGTCTGAGAGCAGAAACCTCGACGGCAAATTATCTAAGGTTCCATGTGGGACTCAACGCCACTCACACACGTTATGCTAAAGTTATGCGGTCGTCCGATTTTGTCAATCTCTCGTATCATTACAGACCGAATTGGACTCCACTCGGTATCCTCAGTATTTTCGTCCTAACTGCGAAGGTCCCTATTGTTTATTACGAGGCATACCAAACACCTCTTTATCTGTGGGAATGACGCAGTATTCTGCTTAATAACATGTATTATGTTTACCCTTTAACTCCCATGAGTGACCAAGACAGAATTTCTCCTTACAATATCAATACAACATTAACCAGATAAGTGATGAGAATAAAGAAAAATATCAATTCGGGGACAATTAGTTGATCCAATACTAAATTCTCTGAACTAACATTATAACAATTACATGGTTGACAGTAAGGAAAATGAAACAGTTGATCTGGGAGTTAAAGGGTTAATTATTCTCAAATAGTTGATCTGGACGCATGATAACGATCAACTTCTTTGACTACATTCAATTGGATTGCTTCAGCCCAGCAATTCAGAAAAAAAACATGTAACAGAGGATTAAAAAGGAGTCAACGAAACAAGTCGACAAAAATACGTGTGTTCTCTGTGAGAATATCTACGAATCTACGTTATCCGAGCTCAATATATATATATATATATCTAAGCGCCGATCAAAACAATCGAAGAAAATTAAACTAATAGTTCATTGCATTGACGAAACAGTACTACTTGTTTTGCAGGGTTGATTTTCACATAAAAGGAGGAGATGTCCGCCATGTTTGTTTCTTAGAAAAAGGCGAATCGAAATTAAAAACGTCACCGTCTAAAAATACGTTTACTGTTGCTGCTGATGTAGGTATGAATGAAGTCGTGGATTTTTCATTTATAACCTTCAAATAAGTTCGAAAGAAACTAAAATTCAATGTTCCAGTATAAGATCATTCATCGCATTCTATCCTCGAAAAGCCTGTTATATAAGATGAAAAAAGTTGACTCTCCAATTCGTCCTCTATTTCCCTCTAAGATGCATACTATCTCACTATCTAACACTTGCTTAGAAAATGCACGAAAGCTAAATCTTTCTCGTTACTATTTAGCCATAAACCATTTTGATTATTATAGCAAAATGTTATCTATTCGTCAACGCCAACGCTAAAAACAAATAGGTTGCCCAGTTGACATCACTCCCAATAACCTGAAGTTATTTGACTAGCATAGCTTGACCACGTATGGTACATTCCATGCATTCAACTATTCAAACATTTCGTTTGAAAACACAGATAGTCAATTATAATTCATTTCAGTTATTATTAATTATTAACTGATTATTTATAATTATTAACTGAATTATAATTCATTTCACCCCTTTAGTGTGAACTGAGTTTCCGAATCAAATTCAACAGGTTCTTTAGTTGAAGATGTCGAAATTCCTGGAGTGCAAACTGAGAAAATTCCAAGCATTAGTATGTCCGTTGACAAAGTCGAGCGGAAACTGAGTTCCACATATGGTGTCAATGCTCCAGATCCCAGCGCTTTCTCAGCTGTGGTTAAAGCAATATTCGGTCCGTCAGGGGGAAGCGTGAAATGCAAAGAAGTACTTGTAGACCTTCCAGAAGGCTCCTTGACATCAGAAACTAAAGAAGTTTGTATTCAGCTGTGCAGAGACAAAAAGCAAGTTGTCCCACTTAGCGACGCGGAAAAGATTGTCAGCCATGTGGTGGAACTCAGCCCCCTTGGAAAGCCATTGTGTATGTTTGCTGAGCTTTGTCTACCTATTGAAGAGAACGTTGAGGCGAGCCATGCACAGTTTCTTCGTTGGACCCCAACACAATCAGGAGAGAAAGCTAACTGGAGTGACGTCTTTGTTTGTGACAAGAAACACCGCTCTGATGAGAGTCAAATCGCTCTTGAATTTAGCGAGGGCAAGGCAAGGGTGTTCACTAAACATTTTGGAATATTTGGCATAATTGCTACCGAGGAACCCAAAGCACATGATACACCTACATTGCTTCAACGAATAGGAAACATGTTTAAGAGAGGCGACACGCAAACACATATTTCTGACACTGAGGATAGCTGTGCAACATCCCCATCAGCTGATCCAGCTGTGACCCCGCCTCCTGTGTCCCCTGTATCCTCTATCCCACCTCCAAACCCAGGCCCTTCCGCCCCTGCTCCGCCCAATCCGGACCCTCCCTCCACTGGCTCAGCGCCACCTCCTCCCCCTCCCCCTCCTAAACCTTCTTCAGTCTCGGCTCCATCTTCTAAAACTTCAAAGGGAGATAAATCACTGGCTACTCAGTTGGCAGCACGCAAGAAAAAGATGGATTGTTGACAATGTAAGGCAAAACTTTTATGTAAAGATTTGAACAGGAGTTGAAAAATGTATTCCTTTTCACCGGAAATCAAGTTTCAAAATCTCATCTGGAATAATCTGCTCTTCGTATCAAAGATGAATAAAATCTTTCCTTCTCACAACCTTATTTCTAAAAAGTTATATATTTTTTAACTCGAGTAACGAAAATAATTTTCAAACTGTGTAGGGAAACTATTTCATAAAGGGGAACTCTTTACCAGCGCAACTGGGTGATCTTTCCAGCGAAGAGGCGCGAGGGAGGAAATTTTGACCGAGAACTGGTTTAAAAACTATTCATGTTTGGCAAAGTAGACACTTTCCAGTCAGAGAGCAGTTTCCTGTCCATAAACAAATGCTTCTGAAACACGTTCATGAGGGACATGTTTTCGCAAAAGAATAGAATTTCGGGGGGCAGAAAGGAAATAAGGCCAAACGAGAGGGTAGCAGCGTCTATATGGATTTATAAAGGACTAATGCCTTTTAAGGTAAAACTGAATGAACGCGCGTCTAACGTAACGCGAAATATGAAACGACTTTTGCAAAACATTCGAACCAATCCAATCCACGTTGATCCTGATTTAAAATAATTTGACCTCTGGCCTTTGTCAAAAGTTCGATGACATGTTCAAAGGATTGTTAGTTAACAGTTATTCCATGAGCGCGCGTTGGATATGAGATGGTAAATAGCCAACTCGTTGGCTGTAACTAGTTTCGTATCCAACAAGTGCGAATAAATTAATTGTTTTATCAAACTTCATTAAATCCTGAACGTTTGCAGCTTTTTTTTAGCTCCGCAACAATTGGTGCAATGCATTCCCATTTAAGTTGACTCGGAATATGACCTGTTAACCGGAGTTGGATGAACCAATCAGAACACTGGAAATGCAATATTCGGAGTTAAAAATTTAAGTATTTTATCCTTAGATAACTTGAAATCTAGAAACATGATTTCACACAATGCGGACCATACCATTCGTTTATTGTGCTTACGCTACCTTATCAAAGCAATTTGTTCAGATCTTTCTTGATCTTGTTCAAACCATTCTTCCTTTTCATTCCTAAACTTTTGACCCACTAGTTTGATAAAACCAGATATTCCTTGAGAAAGAAGACTTCCCCTCCTTGCTTCACCTTCATCATGATTCTGATGACTATCTATTTTCGACGGTTCTCGAGAAATAATACAAAATAAACCAAACATATTTGTAGTTACTTTGACTTGTTTAGTATTAACAATCTGTAGTATTACGGTGGGTCCGGCAAATTTTCCTTTTAAAGTTCCTGGATACACGTCCTTCCACTGCGCTCCTTCACCGACTTGAGTTGGTGACCATCGTAGAAGCAATTCCTGATCTGCACACATATCATCATAAAGAGGAAGGCACAATTTTGCGGGAGCTCTCAATGGATCTTTGTTTGGTCCTAAGGCCACAAGCTCACTTATGAAGTGTTCTCCAGTTTTCAGGGGTGCAAATTCCTCTTTGCAATTGCAGATATGGAGGCAAACTTCTTTTGTGGCTGTTGTTAATGATCGCTCCGAAAGTTCAAGCCATATTCCTTTGCAGTGTACCCCGCCTCCTGATGGTCCAAATATCGTTTTCATCAATATTGTAAAAGATCCAGAATTCGATTTTCTTTCATTTTTTAATTCATTTGTGGATTGAAACATTTCTGCTAGTATATCCCAATTCTGAGGTTTCCACTCCATTCCTGAGGCAAATGAGTTTCTTCGGAATTCTGAGGCTGCAATTAAAAATGAAAAAGGCGAATTTAAGTATCAACGTTGTCTTTATATCGCTAAGCTCGCGCCATCAATTTTAAATGACCATGCCATCAAAAAATAGATGAAGTGTATTTAAAATTTATCTGTTGATACGTGCAATGCACTCTGTCGTTTACTTGAGATGCGTTTCTAAACGCTTAAACTAAATTAAAATTTTACAATGCATGAGGGAAATTCATTTAGCAAAGAATCGGTTCCTTGTCGGTGGTTCGGAGACAAGTGGTTAACAATGAGGTGTCTCAACAAGATGTGAATTTGAAAAAAGAAAGGCTCCCTCAGCTTAGCTGCAAGCAACCTACCTACTTTGAGTCGATAAGCGCGATAACGTCTTTGAATTAAAACAGCAGCTGGAAAAGGAATGAACCAAGAGTAAGTGACATGCTGTGAATACGTGTACTGACTTGTAGACATCAGGTAATGTATTGTTAACAACTGAGTTGAAAACGTAAATTGGCCATCATAAAGTCTTAAAAGGCTGACGTTTCGAGAGTTAGCCCTTCTCAGAGCGATTGAATCGAAGGGTAACGTTCGAGACGTCAGCTTTTTAACTCTTTACGGTGGCCAATTTACGTTTAAACTCAGTTGTTAACACTAAATTACTTGTTATACTCCCCCACCGACGTAGCACCATAGTTTCTTTAGAAACTTACCCCCTTTATTCACTTGTAGACATCAGTTCATTTGCACAATTATTTGAGCAACGTAAGGTGAAAGGTCTCATCACATACCTGCTTTCCCTGTGCTTATATATGCATTCTAATGAACTTTCAAATAACCGATCTTTCGTTCAGTACTTTTAAAGAGTTGAAACTCTTTGAATCCCAAGATCTGATTGTAAATTCTCCCCAATAGCTGCTACACATTCCCTTTTTAAACATGAGTTACGAGAATTTGGTGTTAGATCAGAATAACAACTTCTATTTGATAAGTTTGAGTATTATCATTGCCTGTTTGCTGGATAATTCAAGGACACCATAGGGAGACGTTGCATGTTAATCCCTTTTAAAAGTTAAAGGGTAACCACGCCTCGCCTTAGTTGGCGAACACATAATTATGTCTTTATAGTCGAAAGACTGTATGACGAAATATTTTAAAATCTGTAGAAAATTAATAAC